TGAAGATACTGCTTTGACCTTGTTTCACTGCTCCTAGAATGTGGAGTTCTGTTTCTTAATACATGGATTCATGAAAACTGTCTGGGTCTTAGAAGACTGTCTTTAAGCAAGTCAGTCTAAAGTAGACGTAATATTCCCTCCTTGCTTCTGAAAGCAAGAGCTGTGGTCTGTTCTGCAGTCCTGTATCCTAACTCACCTCCTCTGGAACTGCATAAATTAACAGAATGCCACTACATGGATGTGAAGATGATATGGTTGTGTCTGAATGCCAGATCAGTGAACAGAGGGAAGCTGCTTTATTCATAACACTAGGGCTATGCATTCTCTTCACTCTTTAGGTTTTGTGGAAAATTATTTCTCAACCCCAAGTGATATACCCAAAAACTGTGTTTCAGGCTTCAAATACTGGGTAGTGGGTTTTTTTATTATTCATGGTGCTACCTGAGGTGACTGTCTATGTCTATACCAGGGGGATATTCATAAGCTAAATTCCTCTCTATGGCTTGTTAATTAGCTTATAAAAGCAGCTGCCATCCCGTCCTACTTCACATGCCATCTTGTGAGCTTATTTAATACCATCTTCTCTTTGATACCTTCCTCGCATGGAGAAGAACCAAGTAAATTTGAAATAGCTGAAACACGCTGATAACTGATGGTAGCTGACGTTCAAAACAGCAATGTGAATATGACCTGGCGATTGATTTTTGTTATTGTTGCTTATGAAAAATAGGTCTAGAATTCCAAACAAATACCAAATCGTCACAGTAAGACAGAATGTGACTTCCATGTTCCTACCTCCTACAGTTCTGCATAGCGAGGACAAGTCTGCACGTGCAAGCCACTTATCTGGGTACGTATCTTTGTAGCGTGATTGCTGTGCATCATCACTCCTGTGCAATGACTGCCTGGGAAGCGACAGCTTAGCCTGAGTGGCAGCACTCACAAAGTCTCTGTTTCTGAGGAAATGAAGGCCAGTCCTAGGAATTTTCACTTCCTCTCTTCACTTGACCTCAAAATCCCAAGTCTTTACTCTGACCTTCTCTCTTAGTGGGAAAAGAGGTTCACCAGCTGGCACCAGCAGCAACACCTCTACTGCAACTACAGTCTGAAATGTCACTAATAACAAAGCTAGACAACTTAGACAACTTACTCCAAGATATCTTATATACACTCAACTGTTGTCTAATTATGGGCAGATTTATAATGCCCTGCAGCATAATCCATTTGAAAAGGTAGGTATGCCCCAGTGAGTGTTTGGAGGGGCTGGGAAGGGCAGGGGATGACTGACATGAGGTTCTCCATATCACCCTGTAACTAGCCAAGCCCAGGATTGTCTGCAAAGGGCTGGCATTCCCAGGTACCTGAAAACCATCTGTGCTCTTTTTAGACAGTATTACACTACTGGTTTCTAGTAAGGGGAAAAAATAAAAGAAAAAAAAAAAAAACTATTTGAATTCAAGGAGAAAATGCATCCTAGGTCTGCAAAATTCTTTCTCTACCACGCAAAAGTAAAGGCTGTGGTGAAGGATGTGTCATCCTTGCCGAACCTGACTGACTACTCAGACAAAAAGTTTCAGGATGCTTTGCTGCTTTGCTTCAGGTGAAGAATGGCATGTGACATCCCTTTCCCACCAGGGTCTTGCCATGACTGACTGTTCACGCAGTATTTTCTACACAGCTCCTGAGTTTGTGTTGCTGCAAGCAGAGAAACCTAACAGTGACAGTACAAGGTCAATTATGTAATGATGCATTATTTCTGTTCCTTTAAAAATTCCCTTTACAATGATGTTTCATCAACACCTGCTGGCATTTGCCAGAGCTTCAGAAGTTTATAGGAAGGTACTTAATAGTGCTGGCAGCAATAGGAGGCTATTTCTGCCTAGCTGTTGTGTCGTAGTGGGTCATACATTTCTTCAGCCAAATAACATGCATGCAATATGCATTCATTTGTGAGGATGAATTATTACCAAAAGTTCATATTTTGTTGAGGAGTGCATCTTCCCTCATTATTCAGTTTGATATTTGGTGTTAGATATTGCAGTGCAGCTGGGCTGCACACAGTATCAGAAATGGGACAGGAAGCTCTCCAGGAAACTTCACAGCCACTTCACACCAGAGCTGCTCTGATTTGCATCCAGGTACCTGTGAGCCCAAAGGGATGAAGAGCATGACTGACACCCATCCCTTTCTTCTGCTCATTCTTGGAAATGGGAGTGAAGGATCAAATGGGAGCTGCAACAGTAGGTCTATAGACAGTCAGGGTTTCCCCTCATTAGCATGAAACTTCCATTAGCAAGGCTGAGCATTATAACAGATGCTTGTCATCCCAGCATGTCAAACAACTGGGTTATGGCATTGGCTTGAGGCACTGATAGTCTTATTAAAATGCTACCACCGTAATTACAAGTACCTTGTAACTTGTAAGAAGGAAAACCAGATCAGAGCAGTTGTAAAGATCCTAAATATCTTTACCAACTTAATGGAGAAAAGTAGGACTTTTTAAACAGATTTGCATGCACATCTCCCCTGTGCTGAACTTTTACAGAGTGTAATGGCTGCAGGCTATGGAGGACAGTGGAGAATTTGATCTAATATATAAAAAAGGATGGCAGTTAGCTCAGTTTGCATTAATTTTTGCAAGCAGACTTGTTTCATGTTCAGTTGTGGGGCATACCAAAGCTATTTTGGTAACAAACGGGGAAGATAAAGATTTAGCTCTTCACCGTGCCAGAAGCTCTTCTTCTTCCAACTGAGAAGTGGAGGTGTCATCCTTACAAGATGATTTTCTTCTCCAAAACCCCAAGGCTATGGAGGGTGATTTATCTCCTGGAAGAAATGGAAACCTCCTTACCAAGATTCCCACTCCACAAACTTCAGATGCTATCACAGCATTGTGTGCTCTAGCTGTGCTTGCTCATAGAGCCAACCAGTATGTTGGGTATGCAAACAAAAGAACCTGGCTATGCAGTGAGAGCTGCATTAAGAATTGTTTTGTGCTGAGAAAGCCTTTTTGAACATGTACAACTTGACATAAGAAAGTTTCCTAGAAGACTTTTTGTTATGATCAGGGATTTGTGATTTGTACAGTGAACAGGGAATTTTGTTACCATAAAGTATGCAGTGAAGGAAAAAAGAGGCAGCCTCCCCCTGCCATGCACATCCACAACTCTCTAAAGCCGAATTCAGAAGTGAAAAGTGGTTGCCTTTCTCTTCTATCCAGCTGAGTCATGTTAAGCAGAAAGACAAAAATGGGAAGCTCTTTTATGACAATGGTATTCCTCTCCATTACAAATGCAGAGACAGCACCATAACCCCTTGTAAACTTGAGAGGTCATCATCAGCAAGACCAGAATACCATGAGGCAGCCACTGGGAATTGTGAACCACCTGTGATTACCACAGCTCTCAAGATGTATAAATTTCACTCAGACTTACAATGAAATGTTCTCTTCCTTCTCGGTCCTCAATTATTGCTCCTGTGATGTTCCACATTCAAGAGCTGGTGCACTTTGCCTTCTTTCCCCAAACACCTTCACAAATCTTGTAGTTGAAAAAAAAACTATTACATTTAATTTTCTGCCTTCTCTTTCTGTGCTGCATGCAATCATAAAAGTCTGATAAAGAGACCAGAAGATTAGAACCCTGACAGGAGATGAGATGCTAAGGAACTTACTTTGCATTAATGTTTTCTTCCCAGCTCTGCATGTGATTTAGATATATCTTTCAACATCTACGATGTCTTCTCTATGTGAGTAGCTCTAAATCAGACATGTAAGGAAATAAAAATATGACTTAATTTCTTCTTTTTCTGCTCAGATCCACCTTTCTGTGAGGAAGACTTAGATCGCTGTAGGATATAGCTGTTTCCATAAAAATGCAAACCTCTTGCATGATTATTGAGGCTAACATCAATTCAAAAGAAGTTGATGGGAAACAGGGAAGAAAAAGGTCATTACACATTAACCTTATTGCAACAGCTCTGAAGTCTTATTTTCTGTGTGGATTCTTGGGAAATACCTCTGAATGACATTGTAAGAAACAGGATCACCTCAATGTAACAATGCCTCCTTGTACATGCATTTTAGCAGGTTTAACATGCTCAAGTATCATAGAATCATAGAATAGTCTGAGTTGAAAGGGACCCACAAGGACCATTAAGTCGAACTCCTGGCTCCACACAGGACTACCCAAAATCCAGCCCCTGCATCTAAAACTGTTGTCTAAATGCTTCTGGAACTCCAGCACTTGAGGCTGTGCCCACTGCCCTGGGCAGCCTGTTCCATACCCACTGACCTCTGGAGAAAAAGCTTTTCTTAGACTTCATCTGACCCTCCCCTGCTGCAGCCTCATGCCATTCCTTTGGGTCCTTTTGCTGTCACCAGAGAGTGAAGATCAGTGCTGCCCCTTTACTCTCCTCGTGTTGGAGGAAGCTCTAGATTGCCATGAGGTAGTCTTCAGAACAGCTGTAAGCAGATAAAGACCATGCTATGTTACATGCTATAGACATGATTTCCCTCAATGGGATAAAACTTCACTTGTCCACACTACTCTGCTAAATGTAGTATGAGTTTAAATTATGAATAAGTCTAGTCCTGCCAGTTTCATGCCAGGTACGTCCTCCCCTCCAGGACAGACTCTAGCCACATCTTTGAAAAAGTGCCAGTTTTGTCTGTGAGAAAGCAATAAGACAATAATTATGGACTGGGCAGCTGTTTATAACTCTGTGCTTTCTTATATTTCTGTAGCTAATGCACTCTCCTTTGATGCAGATAAGAACAAGATCTGGATCTTCCAGGAGAGGCAGGAGCACCTGGTGCTGTTGTATGGAAAGTGGTGCAATACACTGTGCCTGAAGGGAGCTCCTCAGTGCCGGAGTTGGACACATCCATGGATGGTGCCTGCACAGCTTCACTGTGCAGTTTGTTCCACTGCTTGTTGATCTCATAGCAGAAGGTTCTTTATCTCCCATTTGACCTCCTCTTGTCCACTGTCTGTTTTCCTCCTACCACAGATTTGGTGACTCTGATAACTGCCTCATAGTTAGTGGAGGCTGCTCTTTACTTCATGAAGATATTTCATCCCTGGTCTGGACAAGTCCTGGTCCACCAGCCTTTCCTCACAGGGCTGATATCCAAATACTAAACATTAAGAGGGCTTAGCAGCAACTTTATAAACTTAGTTCTTGCAACAGGGCTGAAATTTGGATGCAAGATTGTAAATGAGATCTAATTAACACTATATAGAAGGGAATACTCTCAATTTAACTCCTCTCAATACATTGTCCATGCTCCTTCTGATGTAGCCCAGGCTGCATCAGGCTCTTGATCTTCCTCCCTGCCAGAGCAAACTACAGAAAATTTTATAAGGTTCCTGTTGGCCCATTCCTCCAGCTGCCCAGGTTTCTCTGAGTGGCAGTCCATGATGATGGCTGTCCCCATCATCATGGTGTTTGGTGTCAGCTGCAGACTTGATGAGGGTGAGTTCTTGCTCCACCTCCATGTCACTGACAAAAGTGGTAAATCAGATACACGGCAGAATAAATCTAGAACTGTGCTTATAAGGGCCTCCAAATACAATATTATCAAGCTCAACAAAGAAGACAGTTATTCACTCATCTACTAATCTGTTCATTTAGACCAGTATGTTCCAGTTAGGATACAAAGATGTTGCTCAAGTGAGAAATTTCATCTCAGTAGGGAAAATTAATTTACAGTGAGGGTAAACACTGCAGTAAGTATCCAGGGGGGCTGTGGAGTTTCCAGCTTGGAGATACTCAAAATCCAACTGGACAAGACCCTGGGTAATCTGCTCTGCTTTGGATAGGGGTGGGATGAGAGACCTCTGGAGTCCCACAGTGCCTACATCATTATGATTCATAATACAATCTTGGAGATCCATGTAGGCTATTCCCAATCACCCTCATCTCATTCATGTAACAAAGCTTTCCCCAGAGAGGCTTGATAACAGCACAAACAGCATACCTACCACGGAATGTTACTTATTCCAAAGGCCATAAAATCAGCTCCTTCAAGCAAATTAATACACAACTTGAAACTCATGTTCATCACGTATAGAATACAAGTTGTAAAACTACTAAGCATCATCCTTAGCATACTTGCATGCTATCATAGCAGTTTATTCTGTTTCACTCCTGGTCCTCTTGGTGTCCATACCGCATTCATGCTGGTTTGCCCCAGGCTCTCACACAGAGACAGCCAACCAGCTCCCTCCCAGAGGGCACAAAATTCCCAGTTCCTGGCTTCAGGGACACAAGACACTCTGCCACATGGTAGCTCAGATTTTTCTTTCCTATGTGTCAGCGTTTACCTTCTGAGAAACCCAGCAATGATGTAGGTTTGCTTTTAGTCTCATCATGCCAAGATACTCGTTTCACTGTGTTGCTTCATCTGAAGTAGATGAACGCTCTCCTACAGGGCAGCTAGGAGCTGGTAGAACAGCTGAAGGATGTAAAAGCACTCAATGGCTGAAATCCTTGACTTCTCAGCAAGGGGAGAAAACATGACTGTGAGGCAAAGCCTGAAGTCATGGCACAACTGTTCAGTATTTTTAAGGAAGTATACATCTCGAGCAGGCTGGGGCAGCTCCATGCTGCTGCTACATTGCTACTGTCACGCTGCCACTGCCACCCAAGCCAACCCCACAGAGAGCAGCCCGACGGAGTTCACCCATATTGCAGATGCACCTTTGGTTGCAGTGTGGGCATGCTCTGCACAACTGATGGTAATCACCATAAGGACACACAACATCTGCAGCCCTCCCTGCCACCATCTCCCTGCCCTCTGTAAGGATCCAACATCGCTGGTGTGGAAGCAGCTGCTGGCGTGGCTTCAGTGGGAGCAGAGAAAGCCTTCACTGCCCTGCATAGGTGCAGAGGCAGCCTTGAGGGCACACAGTGCGCTGTTCCAGCAAGAGCCCATCTCCACCAGCACTGGTGGTGACACAAGTCAGAGCAAGGGCTCGTTCGTGCTGGAACATGAGCAGTCTCCTTGCTGGCTTCACATCCTCAAAAAGATCAAGTTTTGCCCATCAAATGGACTGATGGATTTGTTCCATACATACTAATACACATTTCATGCATAATAATAATAATAAAAACATCCTGCTCCACAAGGGCAAATGAGTTAATTCATTCATTCTTTGGTCTGCATTTCCTTCCCCTTTCTCCCCTCTTTCTGCAGACTTTGACAAGTTTCCACAACTAAAAAAACTGCACCAACAGATTGAAAAATAAATCCATTTCTGTGTAATTGTTTTAAATGGGAGCAGCCCATAAAGGTGCTTGTTCCAACATGCGTTGTAGGATTTTTGCACCTGCAAACAAGTTTTTATCTAGCAGGCAGAACTTATTCAAAAGGTCTTACTTGTGCTGGGACTAGAGGCAGGAATGAGTCACAGCTGTTTAATACTCATGAAGTGCCCTGCCCCAAGGAGTGCCTCTGTTTTTCTCCCCTCCCTGTCTCGCGCTCTTTCTCTCAAGACTTAATTGTCCTAAGTTATAATGCTTTTGAGAAATCACTTTTAAAATTATGACTCTTGTTAAAGTTAATTAGACACGAACCCGGCCAGATGAGATGGGACAGTTTCATAATTGTTATTCTAGTTTAAAACACTAGGAATCCCTGACCACAGGAAGTTCAAAGGACTAGCAGCAAAAGAAACAGATAATCTTCAATCTCAGGGGACACCAGCTTCACTCAGGATGCCAACAGAGTCATGACATGAGCTGGGCTTTAATTACAGCTGAGGTGGGGCCTCTCCCATTGACAAACAATAGGATTTCTTGCAGGTCTGAAGTTTGCCACAGCAGAGCTCTTCTCGAAGCTGAGTATCACCCCCAAAAAATAAGGTGCTGCCCCATACAATCCATCTGGGAAAAAAAAACTAAGCTGCAGCGAGATCAAGTCATTTCAACGGGCAAAAATGTACCAGTATTTCATATCACAGACCATCTCAGTTTGGAAGTGACCATAAAGAGGATCCAGTTCCAACCCCCCACCCGAGGCAGGGCTGCCACCCACCAGATCATGCTGCCCAGGGCCCCATCCAACCTGGCCCTGGGGATGAGGCACCCACTGCTCCTCTGAGCAACAAATTTACAAACTCAGCAATCACTGAGATCTGCAAGTTCAAAAAGCAAGGGAACTTTCCAGGGACAATGTTTGGTCCACACAGAAAAGAATGACAAAGTGAGGTGGTAACCTAGAACTACAAGGTGACAATAATCATCGTACGACTGTGCCCTAAACACCCCGTGGCTGAATTCCATGGAATTTAGAGGTGACAATTTCTCATTCCACAAATTTTTCTTAAGCTGCTTCCTCATGTAAAAGTAATTTCAAAGGTGTGGAATTCTTTTATTGAGCATCAACAACTTATTTAGTGATGTATAAACATGCAGAGCAGAGAATCCGAAGGTCACCACAGTCTAGTCAAAATACAGCTAGAGCAGATTCAGAAAAGTGTAGCAAGTACTTCATAAAGACATTGATGATATAAGCAGACAGACATGGAGAATGATGTATAAACGTTTCAGATGCCACTGTTTAAAGGCTTCATGCGTATACAGTGGGTTTTTGTGGGGAGAAGAGGAAAGTCACATTACTCAGCGCCAGGATGAAAGCCAGCTTTGTTAGAAGGCATAAAGTCGGGATCTGTAAACACGTATGGTCTACGGTCTGGAGGGAATCTGGAGCAGAGCAAAAGACAGATAAGAAAGGAATTTGTGAGGAGGTGCAGGGAGAAGAGGTCACACAGGCCATCAACTGTGGTGTCAGCAGACTCCAAACCGCACAGAGAACAACGAAAATCTGGAGAGTGTTTCACAGTTAGTGCGGCAGGAAGGGAGCCTGACTGGAGCAGAGAGATGCACGTCGAATGAGCAGTGAAGGGAGATATGACTGATGAATTTACCAAAAGGGAGGTAAGACAACTTTTAGCCCACAATTTTTAGCTAATTTCTGTTAAAGGAATATGTTTCATTGTTCTCAAAAGGATTTGAGAAAAGCGTATGAAAGATAGAGCTGCGCTTCCCAACCTGTCGGCATCATCTCTCCTTCTAATACCTGCAAGAAGGCAGCCAAAAACTGCTCGAGGGAAAGAAACAAAACAGCATATTTATGCATGAAATGCTAATGCTTTTCACTAATATTCACGTAGCAGGAGGCAGTTTCACCCCCAAAGGAAGGATTTAAACTCCAGTGGAGCTGAGGCGCAGTATAAAGCTTGGTAGCAAAAAACTGCAGTTCAGAATTTCAGGAGGAAAAAAGTCACAGAGAAACATGTGGCCAAGAGCAGACTTCATAGCTGTCTGATACAGCAGTTTTACAGAAAGCTGAGACCTGGCTGGGATGCTAGGATGAGCTACAAACACATAGTTTGTGCACCTAGCACAAGGGAGCAGACTGCTCATCCAAATGGGGATTGCCAGTCCTGTAACTGCTGCCATTCCAGTCTGCACTGAGCCAAGGAGCTGCTTTCCACTCCTTCCCCTCATCTGCAAAAGCCCGCAAACACTTCAAACCATTGCTTCACAGGAAAGCCAGGTTGGAGATGGCAGCACAAGGCAGCTGCAAGACATGTAACAGAGAAGACATTTTCTAAATCCGATTATAACCTGCATAGTCAAAAATCTGCTCTGAATTTTCCACAGAGATGAACTTTTTTAAAGCCAAAAGGAACAGTTTTGTTAATATAATTAGTCCCAGGTGCAGAGCAAAAATCTATAATCTCACCTTGTAAATCTAATCTTGAATCAAAGTAGTGTTCTGTGGCTGAGTTAGAGCAGCTCTCAGAAAGATGGGCAGTCCCAATCCTACCTCAGATGACTGTACAGAAGAGTAGTTAAGAGGAAAAATCAGTTTCAAAGGATCACTTTGGATCTTGGGTCCATCAGTTTGGTATCTTAACTTCAACCTGTCCCCAGATCTGTAAACTGTGCAGGGACACTTCAGTCTTACCCAGCTACAGACAGAGCAGGAGACTTGCTAGGAGAAGTGGTATCTTGCATTGGGCCAGCTGATAAAGCTCAAGTGGGAAAAAGACAAGATAGAGGGATGGATGCTGTGGTGCAAAGCTTAAAAGTTTTCAGCCATGTTTCTTGATCTGATAGATGATTTTTAGTCTCTTAAGATTTTCTTACCCCTTCATTCTTAAATCATGCCATCTACCACAGCTCTACTACTGCATCCTGCATCTCACCTTGAAGAACAGTACTCACAAAAAAAAAAAAAAAAGTCTTTTAATAAAAGGGAAAACCACAGCAATAGAGCGAAGCATATTACAGCCCCACTGTTTGGCTCACAGCCAGACAGCATGGTCTGGAGACCTGTTATCAGCATAGCATAAATAACAGACATTTGATCCCCTACATATAGCATAATGTATACAAACAAATAGGCAATGCAGTAATATGCATGCTGTCTTTCTCCTGACTTGCACGTGTAATGCTGGAATATATTTGTTTCATTAAATATGCCTTTAATCTTGTTGCAGCTAGCAGCAGATCTGTGGTTACAAATTTCCTGGGCTTCCCCATCCCAGAGGAGCTGCCACAGCTGAAAACAGCCATATCTTAGGCCCTTCCCTCATGGCCCTGGGCAGCCAATGCAACACGAGGGAGTCCTGGAACATCAGAAAGTCAGCTCTTGCCAAGCTCGCCTCTTGAGAAGAGGAGGGGTGAGAAGAGGCCACAAGCCAGAAGCCTTCATGGTGTTCCTCCAGCGATAGGGTCCCTCTGCAATAAAAAGGCTCTGACCTGAAGAAGCAGGATTTTCTCTTGCATTCATCATCTCTTCAGTGGGAGGTAAACTCCCATCTCTCTTCTGAGCTCTGACATGAGCTGGAAACAGCTCATTGCTGGTGCACAGCCAAACCACTGTTGGTCAAGAGTGGTGTGGAGGGAACTGCCTGACTAGGTCTCCAATTGTTAATACAAAGAAAGGAAAGGAATTCCATCTTTCACTTTGTGCCTATGGCACCTGGGAAGACATCACAAGATGAGGCACTGTCTGGCTTCAGCTAGGTATTCTTGTATTTAAGCCTCAATTAAAATGTATTACCATACTGTAGACCCAGGTTTTAGCGCTTCCATTTCTGCATGGCTGCACACCAAGGCATTCTGAGATACAAAACGACTGAAGACTAATTTCAGTGAGTGACACATAACCTTGGTTTGTACAACCATGCTGCCTAGAGAAATATTTAATTCACAGTGAAATAGGTTTGTTGCTCACATAGAAGAATTGGGCACAAGGCTGCATTATGCTCATGATAACTTACCTCCTTCTTACAAGACAATGCACTTGTGGTCACCCAGGTTGTGTCTGCCACCTTAACACAAGTCCTGGAGAACTGTGAACCAGAGGTAGGGCTCCACCCCCAGTACTTTACACGAAAACAATCTCAGTCCTCACTGAAGTTCTTGCTAATTAAAAGAGATGAGATGGGCATAAAGAAATGTCCCTCTGCCTCCACTCACATTACCTGAGAGAATGAAGACCCACACCTCACTCCCCAAACTCCTGCAACCTGCCTAGGAGGTGCAAGATGTGTAAACATGAAAACAGAACTTGAACTTGAAAAGTGTCGAAAGTTGAGGTGAGCAAATTCAACACGTGCACAGAGGCTCCAGATTTGGCCCAGACTTGCTGTTTATTTAGCTCTAGCTCTCTCTATCCTGCAGTGGCTCAGAAAGAAATAGTGCATGAAGGAACTAAGAATTGGTTGGGTCAGTTTTCCCTTTCTCCTCCATACTAGTTATATGTGATCTGAAATGAACAGCAATTTTTTAGAAAACCATCTTTTGGTAGGAATCTTTCAGAGCCTTTGGTAAGTGATGTTTGGGAACAAAATAAATTTGCAAAGAGTGCATGAAAAGCATGTAGCATCTGCAAGTC